ATATTGCATGATAGTTTAGAATCTAACACATTCTTATAGTGGCAAGAATGAGGTATTCTTACACTAGGTAATAAGGATTTGGAATTGTGAAATGAGCATCATTGAAATGTTTTCAATTAATGTATTTCACAAAGTAAGGACCATATATAAACATAGTGTGCATGCTTGGAGCATGGGATAACTATTGTTTTAATTCAAGTATTAAGTTGATTAATCGAAACATTATACTATGAATAATGTGTAATCAATATGGTGATTAAATAAAAGATGTTTTATTTATATTCAAAAGTTTTGAGACCATATTGGATTCGATTATTCTTGTGTTTCACTTTGCATGTTTTGACTTCCCGAATAATAAGATTATTCAAACTATCCATAGTCGATCATACTTTGGAAATAGGTATTGAGGCAAGACTGTCATGAATCCGTTTGTAGATTGTCTAAGTGTTAGACATAGCACAAGTTTGCTACAGTGTTCATGAGTACTCCTGTAATAAGATTTGAATATTGGATTAAACTCACGCTCATGTGAATCACTTCATGGATTTCATCACGAGTGATTGTGAAACGATAATATCTTATATTTTTGAAACGGATGCATATAGTTGCATTTACAAGTCGGTTGCACATTGATGATATGTAAACGCACTAGTAACTTGGTGTTATAAAACATATTGTTGTGTGTGATTTGATGAGTAAATAGACCAAGCATATGAGTCGAATTTTATCCGTTCCTTTTACCCTAAGAGGGATAAAAGCGATATCTGTGGGCCCCTCGATGATTTAGTGATGACAACCCTAAGCGCTTGGCCAAGCCTTGACTGATTTGATTTGTTCAATTAGTCAGTTGTCATAAATCGGAAATCGAGAAACAACACATGGACAGAGAATTATTATAATCCATGTCTCATGTCCATACGATATCTAAAATGGAGGAATATATGATCCCTTATCTAATGGACGCGTTAGAGTTCGACAGCGGCTTTTGAGAGCTACGATTGCTAGTCGGTTTTTCAAGTCATACTTGCAATTATAGTTATTAGACTTATCCAAGTGGGAGACTGTTGGATTAGGTGTCTAAGCCCATAACTATAATCGGTATGTACTTGACCCGAGAGTAGCATGATCCATTTTGGGTTGCATTCACCGAAGCAATTTGATAGGAAGGATATTTGAGAAAGTGGTTATTTGTGATTTATTAATATATTATAAGTATAATATATTAGTTGATAAATCATATTATTTAATTAGTATTGATCAAGAATTAATTTGGAATTAATTTAGTGATCAAAAGAGACTAATTAAATTAACGGGGACTGATTAAGTAAATCAGTGATACTTATAGTTTGGGCTAATAATCCATGTTGATCATGTGGACTAAATCTTTGTGGAGTCCATGAAGATTTAGTCCAAAAGGCTTATCATATGGATTATTGGATTAAAGGCCCAAGGAAGTGGATTAGGGTTTACTGGTTGAAACTCTTGGAATTCTACACTATAAGTGTAACCCCTAAAACCCTAAAATTGGCACTTGTGCATTCCAAGAAGATGCTATCCGTTTTTAGTGGTTCATAGCCTCTCTCTCATTTATCCTCCTCTTGCTCTTGGTGTGTTGTGAACAAGTTTAGGCATCACACTTGAGGTGTTAAGCTCTTGAAAGGCCAAAACTCTACAAGCTACAACAAAGAGGTAATTGTCTAACTTGTTTTATGTTTCAAATATCAAGTTGTATGCTAGTTATATGTTTCATGTTTTGGATAATTTTTGTTGCATGTATAACTAGAGAAAACTTAGATCCAAAGCATTAGGGTTGTATGTGCACCATAAGAGTGTTATAGTACATAAAACCCAACAATTTCATCATCACACTTGAATTTTAGTTTTATATCAAATTAAATAAAGTAAAAAAAATGAATTCTTGTATGAAAATTGAAAATCATAGCAACTGAATATTAATATATCATATATAGATTACGAAATGCTTGCATACCTTTATAATTCTCTTGTATATGAACATTTCAGCTCGTCTTTTTACCTGTTATTAACAATTTTATAAGTTTATTTATTTTTCACCATGCTAAACAAAAAATAAAAGAAACTAATTGAAAAAACCTGATTGGCTACTGATGTTGGAGGGGCTTTCACTTGACATTTAGGGCAACATAATTTGTGCTAGAAATTGTTGTTGGTTGGTATTGTGGCTTTTCAAGGGTTATTATGTGTATGTAACTGAATACAAATGGACGGTTAAAAGTACCACAACAACTGATACATGACAAATTTAGAGGTTCATAAACCTTCTATATGTAATAAATTATAGATAATATCAAAAAAAAAGTATATATTTATATATATATATATATATATATATATATATATAATACTCCCTCCGTCCTAAAATTATTGTCTACACACAAAAAAACACACACAGATTAAGAAACCATTAATTACCATTAACTTTATACAAAAAAATGACAATTTTGTCCTTACTTTGCATTTAATGTTCCATTAAATGCTTAGTTGGTTAAGTAATAATGAGGAGGTATTTTGGTAAAAAATATTATTTATTTTTAGAAGTGGACTATTATTTTGGGACAAACCAAAAAGAAAAGATGGACTATAATTTTGGGACGGAGGGAGTATAAAATATAAAAGCATAGAACAAAAAGTAGTTACTACCTTTCTTCATCATCTGTTACATAAAAAAAACAGAGCCAGAATTACACTTAATTTGCTTTGAAACTAATGACATTATCATAAATAAAAATAACATTTTATTAGTTAGAAATAGTTACTAAATAATAAGGTACCTTGGAAGGGTCAAGCCATAAACAATCTGCTAGAGTATCCCTAAGCAGTCAGTTGACATGTGAGTGGAAGAACACTCAAATGGAACGCAAGTTCCAATGACAACCAGGCATCTATCTCCCTAATTTCAATATGAAAATCCACAGTATTAACAATATCATAAAAATTATAAAATTAAGAAAATCTGAGAAATAGTACATACAAGTTCCATTAGGGTTTTAGAACTTTGAAACTTTCGGGAATATCATATGGGACAATCTCTTTTCAATTCTTACTCAACTAAGTCTTTGAAAGTTCTGTCAATGAATAACTAAACTGAAAAAAATGTACATACTGCCTTTATGAGATGAGCATCTGGAAATATTCTCCATTTTAGCAACTCAAAAGCTACTTTTTTTAGTATTGACAAATCTTTATTCAAGGTTTCCTTCAAAAAGTAACAATATATAAAATCAAATTAAAATGTATATTCATTGAACGATGTGAATGCAATTCAATCACCATTTGAAACAAGATTAATGAGCATGATTTAATTCTTGATTACTAACTTATAGGTAGAATATGCATGTGAATGGATTTTCCTAAGTTGCATAGGTTAGAAAAAAAAATTAGAAAATGAACAATTAAATTATCACAACAATTCAATCAAAAATCACAGTTATGAATGGAGATCTAATCGTACCTTTGAAGATGCAGATGTAGAAGAACTAAAAGAATATATGTGGGGATTAAAAAGAGACAGAGATGGGAACTTATATCTGGTGGTCGTGATGTGATCAGAATATATAATGTAGCATGTACATGCAAGAGTCATTCAGTAGGGCATTTTATCGAACAGTTAGCGCACATCAGAAAGTAACCCTAAAAAGCTAGTGAGTGATCGTTCATAGATTAGCTAGATGTCGTCTTCTGTAGCATAAATGTAACAGAACAAGCATAAATTAGTAGCAATAGCCAGAGTTCAGGGAACATAGAGCTATAAAATATCACATGTGTTTAGAACATTCAGAAAATTTAGAGACCATGTAATTAAGAAAAAAGTGTTGATTGACGACCATAAGAAGATTATATTACTCACCGGTCACCTGCATGTATAAAAGCTCGATGGTTCCATGATTGGCTGTGTGTAACAAGTTCACGATGTCAATTGATTTGCAGTCACGAAACCTTGAGGGGCGATCCTTGAGGATTTCAACGACTTGTAGGATCGAGACTAACTAAGTCGCAGGCTTGTGCTGCCACACCAGTGCAACCATGAGAAATAACGTTGATTACAATGGAATCCGAAACTAGGATGCGTGAAGGAACAAGACGATTCAAAAACAAATCGGTTGACCAACAAATGAAATGGAATGGAGAGAGAATAGGGCATTCGTGAAGAAGTTGTTGATGACGAATGGAAGTAGATTTTCAACATTCATGATAGGCATTCACTAATATGTTGTGTTCGAGCACCCACTCTTGACGTTTTTCAACTGTGGAAAGGAATCTTGATTATGGTTGGTGACTTAGTGGGAAGTAGACGAGTTTAAAGAAGATTTCTAAACCCAAGAACTTTAAATTAAGTGGAGATCTAAACGATGTAACCTAATTTACAAAACATCAGAGGAAGAAATTAAAAGAGTCGCGCTTCTTCTTTTTTCTTTTTAACCATAAATCTTTTTACCGTCGTAATTCATCTGTCATTAAAAGTGTTTGATCTAGGAGTGAAGCCACGTAGGCCGGAGGAGGCCACCTTAGACGACTAGCGGCTTCAGGTAGACGACATTAACCAAAATGACAAATCGGACAAATTTTAGAAACCACAAAAACAAGTGGGTAGATCTTCCAACTTGTCATGATCCTGTAATTTTGACTATAATAAAATATGGAATAAGAATAAAAACCTACTATCACGTCTTGGGTTTTGGATGATTCGGATTATTTTTCATACACGGATGAATTAATCAATTAAGCACAAGTCTATTATTAACTCGCCAATCAACTACTTATTTCCGCAATCTTTATTATAATCAATTAAGTAATCATAGGGTGGCGTGTGGGGTGTCGACTATCCGTGCACGTGAAAGTAAAAGAACGTGGAAATGAGTAAAGCTGGTGGCGCCGCTGTTCATTGGTCGCTATCAACAGCGTTCTAAACGTGTTTTTTTTCATGCTTCTCCACTCCGCCGCTCTCTCTCTCTCTCTCTTTCTTGTCTGCAGCTCGTATAATATATAATACCTCTTTTCTCATTGCTTTATCTCGATTGTTGCGAAAAAAACACATACACCTAGATACTGATATAAAGACATACCTTCTCATCTCTCTCTCTCTCTCTCTCGGAATATGAGGAGGAACTGCAATTTGGAACTCCGCCTTGTGCCGCCGTCACCATACCTTTTCTCGGATCACAACCATCATGGTCAAGAAAAAACCAGGTAACGTCTTTACCTCATCACTTTCTTTTTAGCATACTAATATATACTTATGCATTCGGTTATTTAAACCTAGAAATGCATTCTTATTAGTTATTACCAAATATTTTCACTTTTATGCATACACTATAAACCTATAAAATGTGAAGATATACGCATCATATATATGTATAGAAGATGAAAGTTTCAACCTATTTGTTAAGTCACTAAGTCAGAATAAATAACACAAATACAAAAGATTTCAACTAAAAGAGAAATAAGTCATACTAGTATATATAACTGGTTAAATTTTATTAATTTATATCATTTAGAAAAACAATATGAATATTGCATTAACATTATGTCTAACATAGTATTTGATATACTAACTAATAGATTTCTTCTTCTCTTTTTTTTTTCGACGAAATAGTGAGGAACTGGATACGGTGGGTGAGGATTCAAAGGAAAGGCAGAAGCTAACAATCTTTTATGACGGAAAAGTCAGCGTTTGTGACGTCACTGAGCTTCAGGTATTTTCATAGTTGTATCTGTACAGAAATTTAGTATATATAAAGAAATTCGGTTTGATATTTTATTTTATGTTTTTACGGTTTTTGAAGAAATAAAGTCACGTGTCGTAAAATGATGGCTACCAAACTTACCCTTTTTCTTGTTCTTAGAAAGAAGCTTTAGTTATATATAAAGAAACGTCTTCTATTTTATGTTATAAATCGTATAAGAATTCTATTATGTGATTATTATAAACCATGTTCAGAAATTTGGATTTTTTTTTTCAAATGAACAGTTTAATTTAATCTTTTGAAATGACTTTTAGATATTTGCTGTTGATAATTTGTACGATATTTAATAAATTTATCTTACTCCTTTGGATTTTTTTGAGGTTTGGAAAGAGACTTTAAGTCTTCGGCCATCTCCAATGGCAGTTTAACGGGGAGTTGAATGGGGAGTTCAATCCCATTAAACTCAAAATCCACATTCTGGGTTAATGACATGGCACTGAGTTCAATCCCATTAAACTCAAAATCCTCATTGAACTCTACACTCTCTCTTCTCACACACACACACATAAATGATGTGTCAATCCATTAAATTGTATTGAGTTTATTGGAGTGTAGAGTTTAATAGGTAAATGGTATAGTGAGTGGAATGTATATGTGACAATCCATTGAACTCATTTGAGTTCAATGCATTGGAGATGGCCTTATATCATTACAAGATATATCTGTTATATATCCATGTATAAATTTTTTACAGGAGTTTTTACTCTTGAAGATATGTACTGATCATTATACCAACATCAAAATTTTATCTCGAAGCTCATATATATATATATATATATATATATATATATATATATATATATATATATATATATATATATTAACATAATTATAAAATATTTGTTGTGTTTAGATCTTGCAATTAAGCATCTCAGAAAGGTGGTTCTAAATGGATTTTTATTGCAGGCAAGGACTATAATAAAGGTAGCAAGCGAACAAATGGAGGAAAAATGGAGGAGAACACAGAACTTTACCACTTCTTTGGAGCCATCTTCGCCTTTGATATCGCCTCCTGTGTGTAGCCCAGGTGGGCTTTCCATGAAGAGATCTTTACAGAGGTTCCTTCAAAAGAGAAAGCACAGGATTCAAGCAACTTCTCCATACCATTAATCTCTAGCTAGCTTTTATGTACGTCTTACCATGATATATATATATATATATATATATATATATATATATATATATATATATATATATATATTATATATATATATATATATATATATATATATATAGTTCCAGTTAACAGTTTGGATCGGCTTCACTGTTTGGGTTAGTGGCAATGGCATGATTAATCGAGTTCCCTTAATTATCCATCGCTACTAATTACGACATGTGAATTACGTATTACAGTATTAGTCTAAAGCTAGAAGGTGTTGAAATCATGTTGAATCGCCAACTAATTCTACATCCATGTAATGGTATTATATTTGTTTATTTGTATGCGTTTCCAGGTTTCTTGGTTTTGTGTGTGTCCACGAATTTTAGGGAGTAAAAAGTTCAAAATAAAAATAATAATAAAAAGAAAATATGGTATTTGATTTTGTCATTTTTAACCTACAAAAGAATATTTTTTTTAAAAAAAAAATTACCATCCTAATTGAATATTTTAACTAAAATATTATTGATAACCTCATTATATACAATTTTTTTTTAAAATTCAGACACATTTATGCATCTTTTCATTAAATTTGGAATCATCCTCAAGAATAAGGATAAGATAAATGGAGTAATCTAACCACTTTTCAAAGGATATCTTAAAAACAATAAGTTTTTCTTTTTCTTTTTTTTCTAAAATGACCATAAGGTCCTTTACATGTCATTTCGGATCCATTTTTAGGAAATAACAACGGTTATAGTATCCGACCCGGTTTTGTGGTCCCCTATAAATATCATTTCAGAGTTCACTCGACGGCACTTCTCGAACCTACATTCTGAAAACTGTTTCGAACTGCTACAACCTACATTACAATAAAACGAGATCATTGGCGACGACAGGCGTCGCCGCTAAAGAGTAGGTTTGTCGCTGCTTAAGCTATTAGTGGCGACTTGTCGCCGCAAAAAGGTCGCCGTTGTTGCCTCGCTGCAAATGCTCCATATGTCGTCGATATTTACTCTTTTCATTTGACGCGGATCGTGGTTTTCCACCAATAGCGGCGACGTACACTATTAGCGGCAACACGTAACCTGCAAATTGCGTGTCGCCGCTATTGCCTTTATTTCTTGTAGTGCCACATTCCGGAGACCGTTTTGAACTCAATAATTCCCAAATGTCTTCTTCTAGCAGTGAAGAGTATCACTTTATATATATATATATATATATATATATATATATATATATATATATATATATATATATATATATAGGGTTAGGTTAATGTGTTTGTTATATTTATTGTTTGCTAGAATGCACCAATAGGAATTTAGTAAAATTAAATAATTATTTAATTAAATAAAGATAGATATTAAATGATTTCCATAATTGTATGTTTATTGAATGATATCCATAATTATAAATCTCTTTTATGGAAACTAATTAAATTTGTCATTAATGTCAGCAATAGCATTCTTTCAGAATGAATTCGCATCTAGGTTTTTATGTATGGGTTCATTTTTTGTTTCAGGACTCACTCACTTGAAATACAATCAAGTTGCATGGAATATAAAGAATGAGAGTGCATTCTTCTAGAATACACTCTCATTCTTCTAGATACGAATTCATTCTGAAAGAATATTATTGTTGACATTAATAACGAATTTAATTAGTTTCCATAAAAATGAATTATAACTATGGATATCATTTAATATACATATAATTTTTACTACATTCTTTTGGTGCATTCTAGCACACAATAGATGTAAGAAACATTTGAACCTACCTACCTATATATATATATATATATATATATATATATATATATATATATATATATATGTGTGTGTGTATGTGTGTGCGTGTGTGTGTGTGTTTATAATTATATGTATTTACTACATTTAGTTATATATGTATGTTACATCGAAAAAACTTAAAATATCCTCATTTTGACTTGTCCGGAACGAATCCGGAATCTGTATAACACCTCCAAAATATTAATAACTCGTTCGGAATCCGAGGAACAGTTCTGAAATATGGATCCAGAACGTTATTATCCCGAATCCTAATCCATAATGTTTTCATCCGAAATCCGTATCCCGAAATGGGTTCCGGAATTTTGATCTGGATGTGTGATCTAGAATTGTGTATTTCGGAATGTCCTTTAGAACATACATACTAAATTGCCTAATTAATGGTGCGGTCATGTTTAAGCAATCAGGTTTTGGTGGTTATGTTCACATACTGATGGGTGTTGAATGTCACTCTTTACTCTGTCACTATCTTATATGTCAGGAATACACTATTTTACCTCCAGTTGACCTACATGAGCTCTATTTCCGATACACGACTATCAGGTTTGCTTCGACAAGAAATTTTTCTACCTGATTACCGGCTTACGGTTCAGGGATTATTTCCCTAGTTCTGATTTTTCACAGTTCAGACAATGTGTATTTACATTTGTGTCGCCTTCACGTTCAGTGAGAATGATTGATTTTATGTATGTGTTCAATGACTTACTTCATCAATTAGGTGATGCAGACGCGATGAGAGTCTCCCTACTGTATATGTTAGAGCAGGGATTTTTGGGGAAATACACTCAACAACCGGTTACTAATGAACGTCTTGCAATCATCTCTAACTTAGACGAGTTTAACAGTTATACAGTTATTTACTTACATTAGATCAAATGATATACATAATTATTAAGTGAAATTTGTTGACACAGGTACCCATGGGGCAGAGTGATATGGAATTTCACTTACAAGCATTTGCGTACTGTCTTTGATAAAATTGAGGAGTATTTGAACCCCACCGCTGCAAGAGTCGGTAGTAGACATACATATACAATGCAGGAATTTATCTATGCATTTAAGGTATGTTGACTATGTTTCATAATAGTTTTTAAGCAACATGTATTGTAAAATTTTGGTTACTTGTTTGACATCTTAATTTTGTAGATTTGGATCATGGAGACATTTCCCAATAGTAGTATAGTCGATTCCCCTATATCGGGTGTTATCACTCGGACAGTTGCATACCCTACGATGAGGCATTTACATGTTGCTGATTGTGAACGTATTCTTGATGTTAGAAATGTATGTAGCTTAGTTCCCTTTATAATCTATAAGTTGCTATGAGAAAATAACATAACATTAACATTTATATATTGTTTTATGCAGCGTCCCCCAACGAATTGTTGTAGCCTTGCTTTATGATGGACTAGGAGTGCCCCGTGGACAGATGTTGCAGATTTTCCTGATATTTGAGTTATGGTTTTTTATTTTGCATGTTTTGAACAATTTCCTTATCACAATTTACCAAAAACAAGTTTATTCTTCCGAACAACGTTTTGTAGAATATTACAATTTTGTACAGACATCACTAAGGGTTTTTTAGATCAACAATTTCATATTGTTGACTACTTTTTTGAGTAGTTTAACATTAGAACTAGTCTTAGACTTAACGTTACTTTTGACACTTGACTTGGTTCTACTTGAAGATTCAGTTTTTGTTGAATCTGCAGGAAACTAAGCATCACAGTTTGTGCTTGTGTGATCGATCATTTGGCAACGGCCACAATTTTTCTCATCATTATCTTCACCTTGGGATGGGATAAAGTTATGGTTTGTGGTCGTTCGACTTGTCATTTGTCCATCAATGGTGGTAATACAACCATTACTTCATCCGGTTGTTCGTATTCAGCTGGAACTAGCACAGGAAACACAACATTTATATATGCCGATCGGTATGTTTCCATTGTAAAGTACGATGACATCCATGTACTGTAATGTTGATATCTCAGTTCCTTGAATACTGCCATGGCATGAGAAGAAGTTATACCTGACAAATGTGATTTCCCACATTTGCAACAATGAGATTCAAAGTTTACTATACCATTTTTCATTTGATCAATCACCTCATATCTGCTTTAATCAATGAGGTATACCCGAAAACCAGAGGATTTGTTGACCTTCCTATCGATAACCTTCTCAGCATCCTCAGTAATATCTTTTTTTATTTCAACTATAAAAAACATTTATGTATATGTTATCATGCACAATAATTTATACTACAATTATCATGGAAGTATTATAATATAAATAATTACCGTTAGCATTACGTCGCTAACACCACCATTGTTGCATAGTTGCTCGAAAGAAATCAATCAACATTGATATTGGTAATTTATGTGCCTCTCTTGATAACGCATTGATGGAATCGATGTTGTTTGATGTCATAATATTATACCGAACCACAGGAAAACACGACCTTTTCCATTTCTCGTAACCGATTATGTCTAGCCATGTACAACATTCTTTATTTAATGCACGATGTAGCCTACCCAAGCTTTCTTTGAAATCAAAATTTTGGTAAGCTTTTGCAGCATCCCAAAACAAAATCTTCGTTCTCTCTTATTTGTCGATCTTTGTTCTCATATTCATCAACAAATGACAACAGTAGAGTCTGTGATATGCGTTCGGGAACACAACTTGAATGGTCATTTCAATTGAATTGGCTATATCTGATATGATTGCCAAAGAGGGCAAGTCCCCAATACATTCTTTGAGTATTGATAAAAACCATATCCATGACTCCCCACTTTCAGTTTTCCCCAAAACAAATGCAATAGAGAGGATTTGGTTATTACCATCCACACCTACTGCTAGTAACATCGTGCCTAAGTATTTCCCTTTAAGGTGTGATCTGTCAATGATAATAATAGGATGCAAACATATTTGAAATGCTCGAACCTAAAAAGTAATTAATATTAATATATTACTCACTAAATCAATCACACATGTAATAACAATAAATATAAAGAACTAATTATATAAGAAATATTACTGCACAACTGATAACCATGAAAAAATGTTCAAATTTGTTGTCATAACTTGTCTTTATATGTGTAACCTTCCCTGGATTCTTCTTCTCCAGGTTGTAATATAAAGCTAGTCTTTGAAAGCTTTCTTTAAGGGTCCCTCTCAACAGATTTAGAGCATACATTTTAGCAATCCATGCTTTCCAGTATGAAATATATACACTAAAA